TTTTAAAGAATTTTTGGGCAATTTCGGGTTTTATAAAAGATTTTGTGCTTCCTGTGTCAATTAATGCTTTTAGGTTATATTCGGGAAAATTAATAAATGGAAGCTTACTTTCATTATAATTCATGTTCATTAATTCAAAAATTGGTAATCTTGGTCGCTTAATTCTACAATTTCGTTTTCCGAGGCTATCTCCTGAAAAAACTCATTTTGAGAATTTTCGGCGTTTTCGTCATAACAGTTTTCATCAGGCATTTCGATTGACGGTTGGTCATCTATATTATACAATTCCTCTACTATATAGTTAGGTCGAGTTTTATTGTTATTTGCGAAATGATTTTGGTTAGGTCGATAACCACGATTTTGGATTTGCAAATTCTGTCCAGGTTTGTACGTATCTGTTCTCGAAATACTCATTGCTGTTGGTTTTGGTTGATTCTTTGATAAACCGGGTTTAAAAGCATTTTGGTTGGTGGAAGAACCTAATCTGTAATTATTTTGAATATGTGAAGGACCGGCATCTTGGCTGGAGTGCATTGGTCTTTGTGCAAATTGAGGATTGTGAGGGAAATTTGTTAATTGCAGTTGATGTTGATTATTAGGTCTAAATAATTTATTTTGAAAATTCATTTTATTTAGATTCGAATTTTTGTTAATAATTTTTGGTTTAGCTACTCTGGTATGAGTGCTTTCTAACTGAAAGTCGTTTGTTAGCATATTTAATGCACTATTTAAATCTGCGGGATTTTTGGTTCGCATCAAAGAGCCTAATGGATCCTTGAGACCTCTTAATAAAACTCTTAATGCTAAATTTCTGTGATAATTAACTAAAATTACACTTTCCGCGCCTTGACTGTGTGTCGCGATATATGAGGTTTGTAAATTCAATAACTGTTGTATTCGCGTGTAAAATTCAAATGGAGATTCGTTCTCCTGTTTGCATTCTGTCATCTCAATGTTAAGCGTATAAATATCCCTTTTATCAGCGTAAGCATTGAGAAGTGCTAGTTTTAAGTCATTCCAATTACTTATTATACAAGACGAAATATTTATAGCAGCTTCGCCTTTAATTTTTGCTAAGATGCTAGACATCAAATATTCATTTTGAAAGTCTGTTTGATCAGCAGTGCTGTAAAATTTTTTTACTAATTTTTCACTTATTTCTATAAACCTTGGTAAAAGTTCGGTTTGTCCGTTAAATTCTGGTATCATATTTAGATACTCTTGTTTTAGAACAGGTAATACATTTGTACCAGGTTCAGTCATGTTTGTTGAATTATTTTGACTGTTAAAATTAAAATTTGTTAATTGGAACCTAAGACGATTTAGTGTGGGTGAGAATGAATCAGAATCTTCGGAGTTTTCTGAATTATATTCAAGTTGACCTCTATAAGACATTCGTGTACTTACAGTAACAGCATCCGGATATCCATGTAGTTTTTGG